AATATCCAATGTGGTGTGAGATTTGGAAGAGCTGCTTATAACTTCCTCTTTTTAGAGGCTATAAGTCCACTCTTCTTCAGTCAGTCATAAATAAGACCCTGCAGAGGCTTTTACCCCACAAAACATTGAAAACATCAATTAAAGGAAGATTTCATATATTCACATTTTTGTGACATATACATTTAGCATTAAAATTTAAATAAAAATAACTTAGCTTTATTTAGGACATTCTTTCTGGTAAATATGCCCGTGCACAACCCAACCCAACACACACACACACACACACACTGATATCTAGTCAATCTTTCTGGTAAACATGCCCACACACACCCCCATACACACGGATACAGATACACATACGCACACACACACCCACCCACACACACACACATACACTCATTGATACCTAGCCATCTTTCTGGTAAATATGCTTACATACACCCCAACACAGAGACACACAGACACACACACACACAGACAGGGGGGCCTTTTAAAAATCTTTGAAAAAGAATAAATTGTTTATTATTCTAATTGTGTAACAGCAAGGATAGGCCTAGAGTAAATGTCAACCACAGCTCTAACATGAAAATCCATAACAGAATGGCCTGCTGGTTCCTAGAAAAAACAAGAAACGCATACGTTTAGCCCTCAAAAGGATAACCCTTGAGAGAAATGCACTAAAAAAGCTTATAAAGTGCCTCCTTGATTATTCAATAGATACAAATGTGTGCTACCTACTTTTCCTTAAACACTTCTGTTGATGGCAACAATAGAAACTGGATGGAGGTGGAACACCCAGTTCCATCCCACTGGGTCACTGAAGAAAAGGTGGGGGGAAATGCAGATAGATGAATTCTGCTGCCCTAGACCCCTCACAAGCTTGGAGGGGAATAAATGGAGTTTCTAGAAACATCATCTCTAAACTGATTTCCAAAGTGTTATTCTCAGTGGTATAGATCATATCACTTTTTTTGATACTCTGAGTCAATCTCCAGAGCTGAATAAAAAACAGTGGTTCAAAATTCTAGTGGAGAACATAAAGATTTAACAAGAAAATAAAATTACTGAAAAAAAAAAAAATCAAGTGGAGCCAAATTATTGTCCTCAAAATAATATGGCGCGTCCACTAAAGACCTGACCTACTTCAAGAACAGTATCTTGACCAGGCAAAAATGTGCTTAATCATCATTGTCTCCCAGCCATCTGCACTCAAACTAGAGTAGCTTGTTGAAATGTAAACCCAGACCAACTGTCTATTTTGACCTAAAAACAAAGCATATATACAAAGTGTGTACATACCACACACACACACACACACACACACACACACACAAAGTGTATATATCATATCGCCACTCTACTTCTGGTAAAACCATCTCTGTGATTCTGGGGCTGGCAGGTGCAAATGCAGAATGAACCACTGTTAGGTTCGGGAGACCAGGTGTGTGGGCTCTGAAGGGAGACTTAAACTTGTTTCTATATACTTGGTAACAAGTTATATCATCTGGTTGTTTTCCATATTATAGCAGGCAGTAAACTAAAAGAAAGAGTATCCAAAGCAGAGGAGAGATGGGTGACAGCTGATAAAAACTCATGGCAGTTACAGAACCAGGCAGGGCAGTGTGGGGAAATAGTGGAAAACCTATTCTGAGTTACACAGAAAAGAGTGATTTCCTCCTATAGCTTCCACTTAAAAATAGCCATGGAACAATGATATAGGAAGACTAACATGAAAAATGTTTAAAATACATAGTTCTAGCAAGTTTAGGGGCAAAGCTCATCTACATGGAAAATTATCAACTGGTAAGTCAGGTGCTCTTATGCTGAAGTGTCAGGCTGACAGAGCCCAAATGTTTCTTGGCTACCACTGTGCTGTCTAGCTATACACCACAATTTCCACTTACTCATCATTTGACTCATTCATGGTGACAAGGGGGAAAAACCAAGTAAAGATATACATCATCGGCAGCATAAAGTAGGGTATTTTGGAATTTCTCACGGGTGTGTATGAGCTGCAGACATCATGCGGGATAGGCAAATAAACAAAGTTGTGCAGAAACCCAGGGGAGGGTGGGCTTAGGCTGCTTTCAAGTGGGGTTCACACAAACAGATCCTATTACTTAAGGACTCAAATTTCCTTTTAATTATTTCCTCAACTAGTTGGGTCAAATGGGTGAGGTTTACTCAGCAGTGCTTACACAACTCGAGACTTAAGAATTCAATAATGCCAAGGCCTGAAAATTCCACTTCAACTTCTGTGGGAGAACACAGGGTGTATCACTGCTCTGGGGAGAGACATTATGGGCCCAAATCTCCTATCTATGTAACTCTGGACAGGATTTCTTAGGCCATTTCATGTCATGTAAATTGTAGATAACTTTAGCCCCACAAAACTGGTATGACGATTATGTTTTTAAAAATAAAGCACAGTACACCTGATACATAAGTGTTTCAGCTTTAAGATTCCAAACATTTCTTAAATGTATTGCCTCATTAAAACTTAATCTAAATTTACCAATGAAACAGCAACCATGAAGTTACACATGGGTGATAAAAAGCCACTAAAAATTTCCAATCTTTACGTCTCTCATTCATTCATCAACAAATCTTTATCAAGGACCTACTATGTGGCAGGGACCATGAGTATTGGTTGTAGTTCAGTGCACAGAAAAAACACAAATCTACCCCTTCAGAGAATTTATAGTCTAATCTAATTTACACTTTATTTTAAAGCAACTGATTTAGAATAAGAGTTGATTTTTTTCAACTTTTTGAAATTCACATAATATAAAATAACCATTTTAAAGTGACCAATTCAATGACATTTAGTACATTCGAAATGCATGCAACCATGACTTAAATCTACTTCTGAAATATTTCCATCATTCCAAAATAGAACCCTATACCCATTAAGCAGTTTCTCTCCCAGAATAGGAATTAATTTTAATTACAATCTTCTCTTGGTATCTGTGGGGGATTGGTTCCAGCTACCTCAGGTACCAAAATCTGTGGATGCTCAAGTCCCTGATATAAAATGGCATAGAACTTGCATATATAACCTATGCACACACTCCCATATACTTAAAATCATCTCTTATAATACTTAATACTTACTTATAATTTTGTAATTACTTATAACACCTAAATACAATGTAAATGCTATGCAAGTAGTTAACTATATTGTTCAGAGAACAATGACAAGAAATAAAGTTTTGTACATTTCAGTATAGATGCAATATTTTTCCCTGAATATTTTCAATCCACTGTTGGCTGAGTCTGTGCATGCAGAAACCATGGATAGGGAGGGCTGACTGTATTGATATTTTCAAGTGAATTTATATCAAATTATATAGAAGTCTGCCTTCTTAGGGTAACACATCTTTTTGTTAAGTGTTGCTTTTAAATTGAGACATCTGTGAATTCAAAGAAAATTCAAATCCTCCTAAAATAACCAGTTTTCAAAAAAAATTAAAGTCAACTTGCAGGTTTCTCTGAGTACATTAATCGGTGGTTTTCAAAAGATATGATTCTGTACCCAAGGATGTTAGGAAATATGTGGGCATGTTTGGGGGTGTCATAATGAGTGAGGGGGGGCACTATGGGCAAAGTGCAAAGGACCAGATATGTAAAACAACCTGTCATGGTCAGATAGTACCACACTAAATTCCAGTAGTGACCTCTCTGAAAAATACACTAGTTACTACTCCAAAAAGTTTTTAGTGCAAAGGACCAGATATGTAAAACAACCTGTCATGGTCAGATAGTACCACACTAAATTCCAATAGTGACCTCTCTGAAAAATACACTAGTTACTACTCCAAAAAGTTTTTAAAAAAGTACTGTTATCACTGCTCACTGTGTTAATTTGCATTTCTTCTTCTTTGAACACTAATTTGGGAAATCTTCCCACATAGAGAAAAGTGAAAAAGAATTAGTATTACTCACAATCATGACCTGAATTTGATATCATCATTTGGCTGAAGAAATTGTAACAATAAGTAACTAGTGCTGGGTTTGGACTATGACTGAATTGTGTTTTGCATTTTTACTTAGATAATCCTATGCAGCTGTGGGTCATTTGCTGGGTTTCCCCAAAAAGGGCTGCCAAAACAAAGTGAAATAACAATAAACAGTATTATTTGAAAATGAAGACAAATATATTACATATTTTTGCTGCCTGTCTTCAAACTTTAACATCTGAAATGCTGGCATTTTCTCTTTCTTTGACAGCAAAACATAGCATCAATAATTCATTCAGAAATTAAAAAGCAAAAGAATTCTTTTATTTTTAAAAATACATACTAAAATATTTATGAATGACATGATATATGAGATTTCCTTTAAAATAATACAGGTGTAAGGCAGTAGGTAAGGGTATAGATAAAAAAAGATTGATCATGTGTTGATAGCTATTAAAGTTGGGTGATAAGTCTACGGGATTCATTATATTTTCTCGTGTATTTGTTTAAAAATTCTAATTAAAAAATTAACAAAATAAAAAATTACAAATACCTAATAAACATGTATTTCAATAGTAAAATTTAGTTTTCAATCCCAATAGGTATTCCTAAAAACTCAGGGCATTAACTGATCTTTTAGAACTCCTAGGAAAGAAGTCAAACAAACATGCCATAATTCAGAGAAGTATTTTTAAGATTGGCAACTTCTCCCTCATTCTATGTCCAGGTATCGGTTTCTTAAATTGTCACTACTTAAACGCTGGACCTTGAAGACTTCTTCAAAAATCAATGGTGTTAAATAAATTTGGCCTAAAACTGCCTGTATCTTGAGCTTATACACAGTGAACAGCAACCCAACTTCAGAGTGTATTCTTCTAATAAATAGATGAATCTCAGCCAATAATAGCAGTTGAGAAGCCAATTACAGGCTGCCAATTGATCAGATCATGTCCATCCATACAGGGCAGAGGCCTCATTACATACACCATGCCCAAATAAGGTAAATGCCCAGCTGTGCCCAATCAAGCTGTTTCTGTACTCACTTCCTTCTTCTGTCTGTAAATACTGCCTGCCCATGTTGCTGGGTAGAGCGTTCTGAACCTCTCCTGGTTCTTAGTGTTGCCCGATTCATCAATCACTTTTTGTTCAAATAAACTCTGCTAAGTTTCATTTGTCTAAAGTTTTTCTTTTAACAATTGGGTGACTGATTTTGGAAACTGGAGGGAAACTTTACCTAGAAGTTGTTGAAATAGCATGATAAAAGTGTCCTTAAAGACAGGTCAAAAGGCAACAGATGGCAGCAACTGAAACTCAGAAGGGTTGAATGACCTGCCCAAGATCAAACAGCTGGTCCACAGTGGGATGGAGACTGTGACCTCACATTCTTCTTAGCCACTAACTGCCCCTTAAAGAAGAAACCCCAATCCCACATCACAAATATAAAATGAGAATCCTAAGAGGGGTTCCAAGACAGGCTAAATAGAAATGATTGTTGTACTCTTTTTACTAAAAACAAATACTACAAACTTTTAGTAAGAGCAGAGGCCCACAATGAAACTGACTAATGTCCTTAGAAAGGAAACTGCAATCACTCTATCAACAGAAGTATAACAAAAGCACATCGCACTATGACTACAGCACAACCTTGGCTCGAGACCAGGCATAACGCAGCATAAAAATTTCTTTTTTGCTTTAAACTCCATCCTCATATTCATAACCAAATGGTACTCATAGTATTAAGAACCTAATGATTGAAAAGTCTCTTTATGGCATTATCACTGTGCAATGTAATATGAAAAGGTAACTTTCCTGTCATCTCTTTCCCTTAGAAATGTAAATTGAGGGGTCGGCCCGGTGGCGCACTGCTATAGTGCACCGCTTGGAAGCGCGGCGGCACTCCCACCGAGGGTTCGGATCCCACATACAGACCGGTTCCCGCTCACTGGCTGAGCGAGGTGCGGGCGCAGCACCAAGGTTTGCGATCCCGTTGCCAGTCCCCGGTCCGGTACGGGCGCGACACTGAGGGTTGCGATCCGTTGCCGGACACGAAAAAAGACAAAAAGGAAAAAAAAAAAAAGAAATGTAAATTGAATAGGGTGAAGCAAAGTTCACAACTCCAGAAGGAATGACAATACCTTTCCAACCAAATGGTTGTCCCCCTCCCCCAGACTAAGGTAAGGCTATAGATCACCTAGACAGATACACAGGATAGTTCCTAATATACACATGTAATTTTGAGTCATTGCTTAGAGTCCCATTTAAAACTAAAGAATAATGTGCAGAGAATGGACTTACGTAATTGCAACATTGCTCCCATCTATGACAATGTGCTTCAAATCTGTTCTCCCTGGTTCATTTTTTAATTCCAGCTTGTAGGGTACTTTTAGAGTATCTCGAAACCTTTGAACCCCAGTAACTGAGGAATCAATATGATCAGAAGGTCCTGCCAACCTTGCATCACAAATTGAAGGTGGTGGTAACTGGGACTGTGGAAATGGTGGAGAAAGGGGTGGACAGTTTGGTTTCGACTGAGAGCTACAACATCCCGAACGTTTTTCACATGCAGATCTCATATTATTTGGAAGCAATGGTTCTGCTTGCTGCTGCAAACCATTTTCAGGAAAAACTGGAATTCTGGGCTGGTTACTTGAAGCTCCCCTTGAAACAAAACTGATTTCTTTGGGACTCGAAGGGGTAACAGAGGATGAAAGGCCATCAGTCTCAGGATCTATATTACAAATCTGGTTTGAACCCCAGATTTCATGCTTCTGTTCTATTGGCACTGTTCTGAAAGCATTAATTTTGCAATTTGAGGTACATGGTTTAGCTTCTCCTTTGAATGGTAACTGAGAAAATTTTTCTACCATATTTTGCTGTGTGTGAGACTGTGTTTTCTTTGGAGTGGAATCTGTTGTAAGCTCATTTATGTTGCTACAAATACCCTTATTTTTGGTTTTGTTGATCTCTGGAGACAAAGAACCAGGTGAAAATTCTCTGTCTTCTTGGAACCTTTTATTTTCTTTTTCAATTTCCTCTAAGAGCAATAATGGTTCAGTAGATGGCCCATATTCCCTAATGACCTTTTCAACAATTTCTTGGGAATAGCCCATGGTTTTAAAAAAGTTTACGAGGATATTGTATTCCATTTCTTCAGTAGTATCTTTTACATCTGGATTTAAATTTTCAGAATCAGTGGAAGGATCAGACAGGTCAATGATTACATTTCCAGCTGATGTCTTATCATCATGCAAAAGCTCTCCCTCCTGAACATTTTCCAAAGAAAACTGCTTCTTGGTATGCCTTTCTTCAGAATCAGAAAATCTCCTTTTGTGACAAACTCTCTCTTTGGAAAGCGCCTCTTCATCTGGGGCTAGACCATTTATTGGAACAAAAAGCACATCCGGTGAACTAGAAAATACTGTGTCCATTTGCTTTGTAAGCTCAGAAACAGGAGTCCCGGCTTCATTTCTTGCATCTTCCTGCAAAATATTTTCATCTCTGGAAATATTGAGCCCTGTGGCAGCATTTTGTGTAAACTCTGTTTGTTCAGAATCTCTAATTTCAATAACATCATCTCCTGTTTCAAATAGATTCTCCTCACCTTGTATGAGTGTCAAAAGTTCTTTTTTCAAGGAAGTGGGCAAAATCAACAAATCCATTGTATAATTGTCGGCACGGGCTTCAACAAATTGTTTGAATTCCCTTTTCACCTCTGATTCTTTCTGACTGCTGGGTAGGCTCTCATTATTCTCAAAAAGCTTTACGAACTGCTGAATGTGACTCCTAGCCATGACCACAGCCTCAGCACTTCCTCTGATGCCAAGAAGGCCAATGTCCAGAATGCAGAGGTCAGCACAAGTATCCTGAATCAAGCTCTTCAGAAACAGGCTCTGTGCCCCAACAAAAATGCAGTGCATGGCCTTGGGGTAACATTCTCTTTCTTCTAGTTCAGGTTCACAGATTCCTTTAATATATTCCTGCAAAGAGAAGACAAGAAATTAGATCATTTTACAAAAGCTCTTTACATACATGTTGTTACACATGTAATTACAAATGTCAAGCTGGTTTAAAAAAAATCTCAAATACACTTATAATTTTGGGAAAAATGACATTTTTTTCCCCTTAAGAAATAATGAATGACTTATCTGTAAAATCCTGAATTTAAATAAAAGATTGGAAATAATAGGTATAAATTGCTTCACTATTTTCAGAAGAACTGAAAAATTTGCATCTAAATCTAAAAGACAGGTATTGTAACATTTTAATTGTGTATCGTGTTGCAATGTGATCCTAGGGGTTTGCCCAGCTGCACAGTGGATAATCCCAAGGCTGGATTTATTTACATCTATAAAGAACAAGGATCTTTGCTTGCTACCAGTCATTTATCACTACCGTGACATAATCAAGAGATAACATAACCAAATCAAATGATTTACTAGAGAACAAAACTTGACTTTTGATTCACTACTACCTTGGTTTCAATATATAACAAAAACTACTATCCTTGGTTTCGATTTCTTGAAGGCATTTAGAAAAAACAAGACTAATTTAACAAAAATATCTTTTTCCAGCTGGATGGAACAATCTATACCCTATGGAATTTTATGGCTATTTTCTAAGAAAGACCAGATTGTTTAAATTAAGTGTAGATGTAAGTACAGTCGGCTCTGTATCCATGGGTGTGGATTCAACCAACCTTGGATCTAAAATAGTCAAAAAAAGAAATTGCTTCTGTACTGAATGTATACAGACTTTTTTCCCCGTCATTATTCCCTAAACAATACAGTCCGGACTATTTTCATAGCATTTACATTGTGTTAGGTATTATAAATATCCTAGAGATGACTTAAAGTATACCAGAAGATGTGCATAGATTATATGCAAATACTACGCCATTTTACATCAGGGACTTGAGTATCTACAGGTTTTGGTGTCTGAGGGAGGTCTTAGAAGCGATCCCCCATGGATACAAAGGGAAGACTATCTAAAGAATCAGAGAATGCTGGACAGTACTGCTGTTCTCAGACACTGGTATTGAAGGAAGCCTACATGAGGTAAAAAAGGGAATCAGGTTCTTTAGCAATTAGGTTGCTATTGGAAGTAGACGTGTGAATAAAGCACGCAAGCAACCACACACACCAGGCACATATTTGTTAAATAACCCTGGGTCCCTGGAGTCAGCATCTTGGTCTCAAATTCCAGCCATATGACTGGTATGACCTTGCTCAAGTTACCTAACCCCTCTAAGCCTAGTTTCCTCAACTGTAAAAGAGTTTATGATGATAGTGTAATCACAGGGGTTTTGAGGGAATTCAGAGAGACAAGGAATGTGAAGCCCTGACAATAGTGCCTTGCACACAGTAAGTGCTTACTAAATAATAACACTGTTACCTAAAATTATCAGTGAAACTTTCTGGATAGACATTTGTGAGAAATGAATTTGGCAATATCTGATCTATACTTTCAACTAAAATTAAAATGGCATTACCCAAAGTGGTACTATTTAAAAGTTCAATATGTGCAGCACCAGTCAAAAAGGTTTCGCAAGCTTGCACCTACTTTATATACGCTTGCTTTGTTGACAGACACACATCTTTGGTTAGAATTTATATCAAGTATGTGTACACGTTCCTTGTGCAACTACAAATTAGAATTACAAAATCCCTATGAGTAGATGAAACACCAGAAATAAAAAGGAGATGACAGAGGAAAAGCTCAACCTAAGCAGTATGATGTTCAGCCATGATTTCTTTGCTCTATGCCTTTTTTTTTTTTGTCTTTTTCGTGACCGGTAAGGGGATCGCAACCCTTGGTGTGGTGTCGCCCGCACCGCGCTCAGCCAGTGAGCGCACCAGCCATTCCTAATAGGATCTGAACCTGCGGTGGGATTGTCGCTGCGCTCCCAGCGCCGCACTCTCCCGAGTGTGCCACGGGGTCGGCCCGCTCTATGCCCTTTTGAATGCACCTGGACTGTTGTTGGTGGTCTTGGTGGTGAAGAGTGGAGATAACTGGTGCTGGATACAAGAGCCCTGTGTTTGAATAGAACAGGTCTGCTATTTTGTTAACATGGTAATTGACTTGTGTTTACACAAGTACAGTAACTGATCATCCTTTTCCCCTGATTGCACAAGCAAAGCATTAAATATTGATGTCAATATCCCTGAAGCTTTCCAAATGGGCAACATTTGGCTACCACTTATTTGAATTTATGCTGTATTTAGGTTGTGGCTTTAGGCTTTTGTTGTTGTTCTTAAACATTTTATTTTGAAATAATTACAGGTTCACAAGAAGTTGTAATGGTAGTACATAAAGGTCCTGTGTACTCTTCACCAGTTTCCCTAATCATTACATCTTACATAATTATACAATATTAAAACCAAGACATGCATGTACACAGTATGTGTATATAGTTCTATACTATTTTATCACATGTAGCTTTGTGAAACTACCTCAGTCAAGAGGCAGAACTATTCCACAACCACAAAGATTTCCTTATGTTACCCTTTCACAGTCATACTCACCCACTTCTACCTTCCATCCCTAACCCCAGGAACCACTAATCTGCTTTCATTCTATGATTTTGTGACTTCAAGAACATTATATAAATGGAATTATACAACATGTGACTTCTGAGGTTGGCTTCTTTCACTCAACATATAATGCTCATATTGCACATATCAATAGCTCATTCCTTGTTAACTGCTTAGTGTATTCCATGGAAAGATGAACCGGTTTTTTTAACCATTTACCTACTGAGGGACATTTTGGTTGTCTCCCTGTTTGGAACTATTACCAATAATGAGCAATTGTTACTCAATTGTAATAATTATTGTTATCATAATGAACAATGACATACAGGTTTTTATGTGGACTCAAGTTTTCATTTCTTTAGAATAAATGCCCAGGAGTGCAACTGATGGGTCATATGGTGAGAGTACGTGTTTAGTTTTTCAAGGAACTGACAAACTATATTGCAGAATGGCTATACCATTTTACATTCCCTCAACGATGTATGAGAGATCTAATTTCTCCACAACCTTGCCAGCATTTGATATTGTCACTATTTTTTATTTTAGCTGTTCTAACAGCAGCATAGTATATTTCATCATAGTCTTAGTTTACATCTCCCTAAAGGCTAGTGATGGTGAACCTCTTTCTTGTGGTATTTACCATCTATGTATCCTCTTTGGTGAAATGTCTGCTTATTACTTTTGTCCATTTTCTATTTTTTTTTTTTTTTTGTCCTTTTTGAGACCGGCCGCACTGCGCTCAGTCAGTGAGCGCTGTGAGCGCACCGGTCATCTCTATATAGGATCTGAACCCATGGTGCCCCCAGCGCCACACTCTCCCGAGTGCGCCACGGGCTTGGCCCTCTAATTCTTTTTTACTGTTGAATTTTGAGAGTTCTTTACACAGCAAACTCTTGAATAACATGGCTTTGAACTGTGAGGGTTGACTTATATGTGAATTTTAAAAAATAAATATATTGGAAAATTTGTTATTAGGTATCATGAGTGCATGACATACCTAACCAAATGGTAGTAGCCTACCTAACAGTATTTTTTTTATTAAGTATTTTAATATTAAGCAAGGCCAGCTTATCAATTTTTTTTTCCTTCACTAAGCCCTAGGTCCCGAAGGTTTCTTCTATGTTATCTTGAAAAAGTTTTTCATTTAAATCTACAATTTACTTTAGGTAATTTTTATATAAGGTGTGATGTTTAGGTTGAAGTTCATGTTTTTACTTATGGATATAAAATTGCCCTAGCACTATTTCTTGAAAAGACTGTCTTCACCACTGAAAATGAACATTTGTCAAAAATCAGTTGGCCATACTTGTGAGGCTATTTCTGGGTTCCCTATTCTGTTCCAGCAATCTACCCCTTCACCAACACCACACAGTTTTGATTACTGTAATTGTATAAATTATAATTTATACAATTAGGGAGCGATTGGTCCCACTTGATTCTTTTTAAAATTGTTTTACTTATTCTAGTTTTTTTGCCTTTCCATATAGATTGTAGAATAATCTGGTCTACGTCTACAAAATATCTTGCTGGGATTTTGTCATCAATTGTGTTAAACCTGGAAATCAATTTGAGGACACCTGACATTTGCTGAGTCTCCTGATCCACAAACCTGGCATGTGTCTCCATTTATTTAGATCTTTGCATTCTTTCACCAGCATTTTTAGTTTTTAATATATGAGTCCTCTACATGTTTTGCTAGATAAGTATTTCGTTTTATTGAGTGACTGTAACTGGTACTGTATTAGTCCGTTTTCTATTGCTTATAACAGAATACCTGAAACTGGGTAATGTGTAAAGAAATAAAACTTATTTCTTATAGTTTTGGAGGCTGGGAAGTCCATAGTCCAGGGTGCACATCTGGTGAGGGCTTTCCTCTGGGTGGGAACTCTACAGGGTCCCATGGTCAGAACACTCTATGTGATTTCAGTTCTTTTAAATTTATTGAGAGTTGTTTTGTGGCTCAGGATAAGGTCTATCTTGATAGTTGTGTGGGTACTTGAAAAGAATGTGTATTCTATTGTTGGGTAGAATGTTCCATAAATGTCTATTAGATGAGATTGGGTTCATTCAGGGTGGTATGGCTGTAGACTAAATGTCTATTAGAACATGGTTGGTTGATGGTAATATTAGTTCTGTATCTTTGCTGATTTTCCATTTAATGGTTCTATCAATTGTTGAGAGAAAGGTGCTGAAGTCTCTAGTTATAATTGTGTATTTGTCAATTTCTTCTTTCAGTTCTGTCAGTTTTTGCTTCACATATTTTACAGTACTATAGTTAGAAATATACACATTTAACATTGTTATATAGTGACTATTGGTAAATTGACCCTTTTATCATAACATAATGTCTCTCTTCATCTCTGATAATTTTCTTTGCTCTGAAGGCTACTTTGATAGTAATATTGCCACTCCAGCTTTCTTCTGATTAATGT